TATTTTTTATTTTCAAATAGAAAGTTTAAAAGTAAAGAATAATTAGAATTTGGCATGGGTCGGTCAAACAGGTTGAATTTCAAGTTTTGGCCTGTTTGTTTTATGCATTGCAAATTTATTAGCATGTTGATGGAAATGGCTTAGAAAAAAGACATATAAGTTGTACCTTTGCAGAAATATCCTCAAATGTTTGAATGCTTTGTGAATCAGGTTCTGTGACTTTTGTGATGGTGTATGTGCTTGACGATTGCTCGATGTTGTAACTACTTAATTTGAGAGTAAATCTTTTGATTTTCCCTATGAGTTGTGATACTAGTTCTGGTGGTTGCAGCATGTTGTCGTTGTTGGCCTGTAAAAGTTGTTCCGTCGTGATGCTAAATACCTTTCTTTCTTTTTTAACAAATTGTGTAGTAGTGCTATGAAACAGACCACCCATGAACGCTACGCTTATTATGGTCTGTTCTTACTTCCGGTGGTGAGAAATTGTGAATTGAGAATCATATTCGCCTACCGCACTGTGTCTGGTTGGTGGCTGCTTACTATGCTCTCTAGAGTTATGAAACAGACTACCCATGAACGTTACCCTTAAGAGTCCATAACTTTGCGAAAAACCAAATTTAGGCAATCAAAGGTGGTGGATGTTTGATGATTTTTTATGGCTTAATTGTTTGTGAATTGGATATCTGATCTTTGTATGATTAGAGGGGATGTTTGCTTAATAGAATAATCCATTTTAATTCATATTTATTTTTAACATGAACTTTAGTAACTCAAAACCTTCGAGACACATATCACCTACTGCATTGTATCATTTTGCCTGGGTGCTTGCTGTGTTGTCAAACTTCTTTGCTGCTGCTGCATTTACACTAACAGGGGAGTTAAGAACCCATGAATGTTTCCGTTTGACACTAACAAGAGGACTTACTTCTAAATCGTGCACTAAAGATGATTGGAGGAAACATCTCTTTGCAGTTGATACACTGGAGACCAGAACAAAAGCAACGTATAACATCAAAACCAACCATCTGAACTATTAGCATTGTTGCTTTACTCTTTTTTCGTGGTTGAGTATCCTTCAAAAAATTTAGTTTGATTTTAGAAAATTTTGCTTCTGCAGTCCTGTCTTGCCACCAACGCGTTCAATAGATGGAGATGGCAGAGGCGAATGCTATTTTTGTGTTGTTGTTGCTGGTTTAGGGATCGGTTTGTGAAGAAGAGGGAGAAGAGAGGGGGAAAGGGAAATGCATGAGAGGGGGATAACTCTTTTCTCCGACAAAAATGGAGTGAAGAAAGGAATTATGATCAGTAAGGATATGGTTATCTTACATAACTGTGTCTATTCTGTTTGAATTGAGCTTGGGAGGTAGTGATAAGGACGAGCTGCGACCAATTCATAGTGATAAGAGTGCTATGAACTGTGATCATGTATTATTTCAAGTTAGAAGGTAGTTTCAGTATAAGGATTATTTAATTTGACAAGTTGTTTCGTCCATGATTTTTGGTAGTTTCAGTTCCATTCTAGCCATTGTTTAGTCTGTAATTTTTGAGAATTGATGTGCGAGTAATGACTTTCACTTAGCTTCAACTATTAAGTGTGTATTTATTGGCATGTGATAGAATTCTATTTTCCTTTTCTTTGATATCAGTTTCATACTCTAATTGTATCATTTGTACATAGGCAAATCATGCTCGAGATGACAACTCGCCGATATGGCTGGTGCAAGGAATGAAGCCATCATTAAAATTCAGACTGACAACGGGGAGGGATGCCTAGGACTAATTCAACGATGATTGATGATGGTATGATAAAAACTGCAGTCTGCATCAGCACCAATTTCTAGGACTAAGTAAAGTTATTCAACCCAGAACTCTGCTTAGCGCTAAAAATTGCCCTCACCCAACATTGATCCTGTTTGACCCACTTCTGAAGAGTCAAGATATATTACTAATTCTCTCTGTTCGTATTTTCTTATTGACTCTTTCTGGCCCTTTAGGTTGGGGCGGGTCGGGAAGAATCAGATTAGTGGGTCGGTCCTAATCAAGTGGAATCACAATCCCTTCACTCTCACTTGCTTTCTCTCCCATTCCACAAGTGGGTAACATACAGTCATTCGGCCAACGGGCCGGGTAATAAGCTAGTATATATATATATATGCGCCGCGGCTGCCTGGTTATGATTTAGGGTAGGCGAGGAAGGATATAAAAAAATAAAATGGGCGGGTGCATGTTGTTGGATGGAGAGGCATTATACAGCAATGATGGCTGAGATAGAAGCATGCATTGAACTTGCCCTCAAATTCCATATCCTTCCCAACTGAAGGAAGCAAATCCCACTCTCACCAAACCTAATCTCTTCCTATCCCACCACCACAGATTTGCTTTTGGTGTCCTAAACGCACTACTGACATCAGTAGTGCCCCACGGATATTAAGGGAGTGACGATGAGAGTTGAGGGATATCATCCCTATATTCCTAGGGTATCAATCCTACGTCATTTTCAATTCCAATGACTCTGTTAATCTCGACATAGGTCACACGGTAAACGGTTTGTCAAGAGATCATCGAAGAGCTTGCTATGTGTTTGTTTTGAATCTGAATATTTTTTTCATTACCCAAGCAGAGTTGAGAGGCGTTGCGGAAGGTCGTTTAGTTCGCTTGGTATGTTGGACATTAGCATGTGGAAGTTCAGGTGGGTTCACACGGTGTTGGTTGAATTGGTTGAAAACCCTAAGTGGAATGAACACTAGTACGCAATTAACTTACTCGTCACGGATTCCTCAATAATTTAAGGAGATATATGGGGTGATTATCTCTCATATATAGAGAGAGGGCAATAAGTGTGTAGATAACATACTTGGTAGGAGTAATCTTAAATCTTATGTATTTATGGCTTTCAGTGTATTCCACTTACTAATGTTATGTTTAGTTACTCGACTAGGCATAATTTTTAGGAGCTTTTCAAATGTGTTATTTTATAATAATCTACAATCAATACTCATAATATTTCGGTCAACCTCATTTGAACGAATTATTGACTATGTCAAGTTCCAAGACCATAATATCTTTAGTCCTAAGTAGGGCTGCAAACGATCCGAGTCGAGTCGAGTTTTTGCTTAGCTTGAGCTCGGCTCGTTTATTAATTTTTCAACTCGAGCTCGGCTCGAACTCGAATTTTGATAATCCAGCTCGAGCTCGAGCTCAGCTTGAATAAAAATAATCTAGCTCGAGCTCGACTCGGTAGAGCTCGATAAATGCTCATTAACATAGCTTGTTGAGCTGAGTACAAGCTCGGCTCAAGATGAGCTCGATTTAAAATCATTTTTGCTGGAAAAATGTATAAACATAAGAATTTAAATTATAGAAAGAACACTAGAAACTAGAAATAACATCTAAATTTCATACACTTCTGTATTATAAGACAATGTTCATGTTTAAAAGAGTAATTCATCCTTCCACAAGCTCAAAACAAGGCAGCTCGCAAGCTTAGCTCGACAAGCCACCGAATCAAGCTAGCTCGCGAGCTTATCAAGCTGAGCATGGTCTAGCTCAGGCTTGGCTCGTTAACTAACGAGTTGGCTCGCGAGCCGGCTTGTTAAATAACGAGTCGAGTGTCGAACGAGTTTTTCCCGATTTGAACGCCGAGTTGCTCGCGAGCGGCTTGGCTCATTTGCAGCCCTAGTCCTAAGGTGCTAACTAATCGGTGGAGGCCCGACCCCAAGGTCTCCCAGGCGCCGCGGGCGGAAGGTAATTAATTAAGCCACGCCAGCCAGAGGCCCGGATGACGTGGAGTGCCACGTAAGTACTGAGGTGGGGAAGGAAGGGGACGACCAATCGCGTATGAGCGTCACGTGTGAAGGCGTGGGACGGACGGACGGCGGCGTCATCAACACCGCCACGTGGAGGTAGAAATAATTTTCCCGGGGCACCGCGTTTATTTGTCAGACGTTCACGTGGACATCTCATGCTATAGGCTTCCCCCTTTTCCAATTCCGACCCGACCCGGCCCGTCCCGTCCGACGCTCTGATGGCAGGCATTATATCACCGGCCAGCTTTCCGTTGAGATCTTTCTTTCCCCAGAAGCCCCAGCGCCCACCTGCGCCTGTCACCGGAAAAAAAAAAATATATATATGTATGTACTTGTAGTTGTATCGTATCGGCCAGCTAGCTTCAGAATCAGAGAATTTCACAAGTAGCCGCCTGGCCTGCAGACTGCAGTACCATAATTAATCATCTTCTTCAGGGCGCCAGTCTTATCTGTAAAGAAACCATAAACGAGGATTGTGTTTTCGGCCTAATAAAAGGTCTCTTTCCCGCTGTACAACAATATTGCTGCCATTCTTCCAGCCCACAGTGTAGCCTTTTGTGTTTCCCACCACTGGCAGATCCTGTAATTTGCCTAAAATTGAATGGATTCTTTTGTGAAGATTTATGGAATCAGAATTTGAGATTTTCAGATTGAAATGTAATAGCCAGTGGCAAAACCAGTTTTCCAAGAAGTTGGATCTCGTAACCCACTTTGACTTCAACTTATAACATAGAAAATAACAATATTTTGTACACAATTTATTGTACTCAAACCCAACGGCTGATGTTCACTATTTTTTTTATTTAACTACCAACAAACTGTAGAGAAATTTGTAGCAAACATTAACCTTACATATTATATAAATAATTATAGACTTTACATAGAACTGTGTGTTTAATTGTTTATCCTGAATTAACTAATATCTATTGTTAACTTTTAAATTCTCCATCCTCAAATGAAAATCAATAGACAGAAAACACATAATAAATTATTTATATGCTAAGAGAATTCTTGACTACACTTCTCTAACCGTAGTACTAACAACAACGTCAACGAGATGATGAGCATTGGAACTTGTCGAACGGATAACCATAAATAAGCTTTTCATGAAAACAAGGTTAAGATCGACCTCGGGGTTCCCTTTTCTTGCAATCAAAGGAATATATATGATGCATTTATTCACTTCGTTAATCATACAGTCAAGATAATATATTCCACCAATAATAATAATTCCCCATGCATTCATATATCTCACACGTGGAGCCTAACAATTGGCCACTCTCTACCAAGTTGGCACTGTCCCCACAAAGAAGGTTCATCATTATTATTATTATCACAAGAGAAAACCATAATCAACGACTAATGTACGTACTTAAATCTTATCCCAGTCAAATTAAGCATTCCCGTAGTGTGGAATATCTTGCTGCGACGTCGTCTGATGATAACCACCACCACCTTTCCCCACGACACCAACATAACTCCCGCTGGCCATGGCCACAGGGAATCCAATCCCACCACCACCGCCGCCACCCGGCGCGTGCATCCCCTCCGCCGCCGGCGGCCGAGCTGATCTCTCCAGGGACTGCACCTGGCTCTTCAGGAACTTGACGTAGTGAATGGCCTCGTCGAGCATCGACGCCGTGTCCATCTTCGTCCCGCCGGGGACCAGCCGCTGGAGGATCCTTATCCTCTCGCTGATCCTCTCCCGGCGGTGACGCGCCGCCACGCTCTGCGGGTCCTTGGAGATCCGGACGTTCCGCCGCTTGGGCGGCTTGACGGCCTCCGGGTCGATGTGGACCGGTTGCATGGCGGCGATGCGGAATATCATCTCCCTCATCGCCGCCATCGACGCCTTCTTCTGCATCATCCCGCCGTTGTGATGAGCGCCGGCGGCGGCTGCCTCGGCGGTCATGAGATCCCGCCATGAGACGGGTTGGTGGTCGTCGTTATTGGGGGAGAAGGATAGGGTGGTGGAAGGAAACTCGTTGCTGTGGTGGAGGAAATGTGGGTAGGGAGTTGCACCGGCGGGGAAGTCGTCGGAGGGTAAAATGGGGAATTCCGATGAGTAGAAGTAGTCGGGGAGGTGTTGTTGTTTGTTCATCATGATGAGCATTGATTGGTCGTCGGCGTCGGTGGAAGGTGATGAGGAGGAGGAGGAGTACTTCAAGTGATCGATTTCCATGTGTCTTTTGTTTCCTTTTTGTGTGGTTTTAGGGCAGAGGGATGGAGATGGACTTGGAGAGTACTGTGGTTTTATGTAGAGAGTGAGTGTTAAGGGTATGGTGAAGGAACTGAAAACACTGAAGAAGGCAGAAATAGAAAGTGTTGGGAGGTGGGAAATTAAAGGTATTGTGATTTGTGAAGAAGATGCCGTCATGCTAGCTAGGTGTGAGATAGATATATATTGTGCAAATATATATGTAAGGTTATTGAGAAATTTTACAATGCTATATAGTATTGGTGCTATAGGATTTTGCTTTTATGGTACAACTTAAAATTGTACATTTACGTTATGGTACAACTTCAGATTGTACCTATACTTTTTTGTACAAATTCTTTTATGGTACAACTTGAACTTGTACTTTTATGTGATGGTACAACTTCAAGTTGTAAAGTTGTACCATAACATAATGGTACAAAATGCTTTATGGTACAACCTAAACTTATACATTCAATGTTATGGTACAATTTTAAATTGTACATTAAATCACCAATACTATATAGCATAGTAGAAGTGCTCAAGGTTATTATCTATACGTGAATAGTTAATTAACAAGTGGTGCTTCTGCAAGAAAATAGAAATTTTATTATTGTTATAAATAAAATTTGTTTTTATTATTTTGTTTTGAAAATAATAGAATATGATACCTTGTTGTTTGTTTTGTTGGGAGGAATGATGACATTGATATTTTTAATTCTGGTGAGTTTTTGTTTTTGTTGTTTTTGGTTTTGGAGGTTTGTTCATGGCGGTAGGTGTTGGAGATTAGAGAGAGAGGGAGAGAGAGAACTAATTAATTACTAGCTAGCTAGGCTCTAATTTTGCAATAGCTGGAGTGGCTCTACTAATTAATTATATGCATGCATGGGTTTCGTTGATACTTGATAATGATTAGCTCACGTGTAATTGAGTTGGCTACGCCAATTAAGTCACCAATACTAGTTTAGTTTATATTTACATCTGATCGGCATTAGATATTAATTAATTTCTTAACAATCCGATAAGTAAACCTGGTAGAAGGATGCGTAGAAACTAGATTTTTTTTAGCAAAAGGTTGTAAACCCGCGAGTCGACCCACTTAGACCCTGGCCCTGTGAGAAAATCGGGCCGCACGAATTCACCAGGTCTACCGCTATAAGGTACCGAGTTAGAGGTCAAATTGTGTCATTTTTTCTTTGGTTTGCGAAATGCGCCTATTTTCCGATTTTTCTTTTCGCCTAACTCCATATTTGGAATCCTAAGTTGAACATTTGAATATATATGTTATATAAGTGTGTAAATTTTCACTATATGTTGGATCTAAGTACGACATGTTATTTTGGTGGAATATTATATGTTATAACTCATATGTTAGTTGAGATTTGATGTAATTTATCAGAATAAGTACAATATAATGACTCTTTCCATATTTCCGGGTTAAACCAAACTAAAATGGGTGACCCATTAACCCTTAACTCACTAGCTCGGTTTAACCCGTGGGTTGAAAAACTTGGAGCAAACTGATGTAAAGGCTATATATTATTGAGGATTTGGGATGTGACGGTAAGAAAACGTTGCAGTGATAAGAGTCAAACCTTACCGAAAATGGAAGCATTAAGGAGGAGGGGATAGAATAGAATAGAAATATAGAATAAATGGTCACAAAAGGCCCACCATAAAAGCTTTCAGATCTATCTATCTATCTACAGAATTACCAACTCATTTACACAGAAAGGAAAGCATATGCAGCAGCAGCAGCTCTCTCTGCTCTTTTTGCCATTGAGTGTTTGATCATGGTGGAGGGGGAATATTGATTATTATTTTCGCTTCTCTTTTTAACTTTAAGTAAATATACCTTCATATGATTATTGTTTTTTTTTTGTGTGCATTATATTGTTTATTGTTGATTAATATATAATATTATTTTAATTTTCCCTCAAAATTATAATATTGAAGGGGGGAAAAGGAAACCTTAGCCGAAACCCCACAATCACATGACAGGTGTCAGAAACCTCACAAGACTCCGTTTCTTTCTCCTTCCCTCTGTCCGTAATGTATAAATGAGCCGAATTAAACAATTGAAAAGAAAGCAGACATTTTTAATTAATTAGTTGTCCCCACTTGGCGGTGAGAACTGAGAACCCAGTGCCGTTAGGATGCACACTTGGCCAGTGATCTGAACGGCGTTCGGAGTGTGTTACACATTACATTTAGGAATAAATCCAATTTATTCACTAATAAAGTGAAATCAGTCACTTTTAGCTTGTCTTTCCCAATTTAAACAATTTATAATGTTGACTGTATTGACAACATAAATAAATTAACCTCTATAAATCTGAGTGATTAGAAGAAACGAAAAAATTTGCTATAAATTTTATAGATTATTTCTTTTCTTTTACATCCTGTTAATGTTATTTTTGAAGGCCGAAATGTAGGTATAGTACACATTTACGCACTTTGTCTAGTTAAGTTTCTTGACCAGATGCAATGCATGAAAACCAAACAACTACCATAAGCTAAGATGTATTTTTCTGTTTCGAAGTTGGACAAGTTGTCGAATATATAGGGTGGAGAATCGTGTAATATTATTAGTGATATGACAACTCTGAGGGCATAGCAATGTCAGTTTGGATTTGGTTAATTACCAAACCACTAAGTATGCAAAAACCAACGCACTATAATACTAAACGGTTTAAAACCGTAAAACCAAATCATAAAACTTGTAGGTAGCTATCACTCTCTCCCAATATTGAAATTAATAAGCCAACGTAACTCCAGCTATATATATATATATAGAGGGAACGCATTTCGAGAAGGATGAGGTTATAATTTTCTCTCATCTGTCAGTCAGAGGCGCAGGCAGGCTAGTAGGTATACAAATACAACATATGGACACTGTTTCATGTGCTGGAATTTATCCCCCTCGATCTCTGCTTTGTTGTTGATTCATTACCAGTAACTAAGCCGCTGTGTTCATCGATCGATCTGCAGTGGCTGTGGGCCTGAAATTTATTAGTAGCTGCTTGCTTATATCTCGGGACCCTGTGCCCCTTCCCACAGTTGCACCTTCCCCAAATGTCATTCTTTCTCTCTGCAGTCACTGTCGTGCGTGGCTTCCCAACATTTCTCTCTTTTGTTTTGTTTTTCTCTACTTCACTCAAACCACCAACATATACAGTTAATTAGTACCTAGAGTTGCCCATTACAAGATCTAGGGTTTTGATTCCCCAAACTTGCTAAAATCCACCAGTGATTGGTCAGCACACCTTCAAAACATTAGCACCATACTCAAATTGGAAATTTCTTTCATGCTCGTTGATCACTTGCATCTTAGTCGAATGCCTACTCAGTTAATTTAAAGTTTCCACATATCCATGCCTTGTCATTAGTTAATAAATTCAAGTTTGGAAATATACAGTTCAGAAGTTTAAGATGCCGAGCTTCTATTTCTTTCAATAAAAATATGAGGTGCATGCCCACTGTTGTTGTTATCAACAACAACTTGATTTCCGTAATTTGAGTTCTCGAAACATGTTTCAATTGTGAATTTTAAACCATTTACTTACACTCTCCACCAAACGAAATTCAATTTGCGAGTTTGAAGCTCAGATCGATTATCATGTTCTTAAAATTGTAAGTCATCGGGATTCGAACACCAAGGATTTGTAAAAAATTTACCCGAGGTTGGTATAAGATAAATCAATAGTAGAAATATTATGGGTTTAACTAGTGATTCAACTCGTTTATAACGGTAAAATCCTATGTCGATTTGAGCTTAAATGAGTTTTTTTTGTTGGACCACGGTTTATCAAACATTATTGAACACAACTCACCTCAATTATCTAGAGTTTTGATATCATGTCAAGATCCTGTTAGTTATGAATTAGAGGAATTTTACAATGCTATATAGTATTGGTGCTATAACTTTTTGTCTTTATGGTACAATTTGAAGTTGTATTTTTAACGTTATGGTACAACTTCAGATTGTACCTATACTCTTGTGTACAAATTCTTTTATGGTACAACTTAAACGTGTACATTTATGTGATGGTGCAACTTTAAGTTATAAAGTTGTACCATAACATAAGGGTACAAATTCTTTTATGGTACAATCTTAACTTATACATTTAACATTATGGTACAACTTTAAGTTGTACATTAAAGCATCAATACTTTATAGCACAGTAAAAGTGCTCTATGAATTATATTATTTACTATGATTTGGCATGAAAACCCCTATGTATCATCTATCTACCTCCATTATCAACATGCATTGTATTTACAGATGAGGATTTTTTGTAAAGCCTCCCGTCGGCGAGAAGATGGTAAAGTGGGGCCCCTGACGTAGACGACGTACGTCTCCCTTCTCCCGCACTTCCGGCGAGAGGATTGAATTGACGTTGACGTGCGATAAGGAGACATGCACGTCGTCATCCAATAATTGTTTTTCTACTAAAACTTGCAATCGAAGAGGCCAACGAGACAAGAGTTTTTGGCTTCATTCTAATTCATTGATTACGATCGAATTGATGTCTCCTTATCCAGCGATCACATCTAGAATATACATGGAAAGGAGTCAATCAACTAATCACGAGTTTTTCAGTTTCTTGAAAGCTTAATTCTCGTGAAATACGAGAATGACTTCTTGATTGAAATCGGCCCTAAAAATAATGAGATGCCAATCTGTGGAGTAAGCTGCCGCGCGAGGGGACATTGGACACCACCGTTTGGAGATTTACAGAAACAGACCTCGGAAGTTTTTTCTTATCATGGAAAAGTTATATCCACAGTCAGTGTTTTTTCATGTATTTAGCAAAGCCTTTAATTACTCTTCGTGATTCAAATATGTATTTATTCTCGGTGCATGCAGTCTGAAGTTGAGAAGGAGTACATTTCTCGAGCGTCACACTGTAGTGTACACTATGTTTGCCATAGACACGATCTTACACATGATGTTAGAACTGTCGGTAGGTTCGTTGTGCAGCTTGGAAAAGAACATTGACAAGTTGTGAGGATGATTTTCTCGTGCTTGAATGGTACATATGATGTGGGGATCAATTATGGAAGTGAAAAATCCTAGAAATTTATAATGAATTTATTGTATTTTGAATTTGAAAATTTTAGTGACGGCATGATAAATTTTATGATATATTTATAATTTGTTGCATGTATCACTAGTCATTAAGGATTTATAAGTATGTGAAATTCTGGATTTACAAATTAGTGAATAAATACCAAATTTGTAGACGCCGCGAATTTGACACTCGTCAACAAACAATAGAATTGTGTTAAATCCATCATATTTGAAATTTGAATACCAAATTCATAACAAATCCAACAATCAAACCGAGACTCAATTTGTCCTGCTAGTTTGCAGCACGAATCTCTCCTATCTGAAACAAGTTGATTAACCACTAGCTGCTGATAAACTAATAAACTATCAACCCACCTGCAGACGTTCTTACCTCAAGCATGGATGATAATATTGATAAAAGAAACATCTTCCACTTGAGTTATATATTTACTTTGAATAACCAGAAGTAGTAATAAAATAGAAATATATGTGCACAAAGATGGGTGGATGAATTATTATTATTATTATTATTAAACAAATAACAATAATTTGGTATGGTGAAAGAGGGGGGGAAAGAGGGACATGTTCTGTTCTCTGCCAGTGCAGGAAGAAGAGGTTGGTTCCGATAGAACGAATCCATGGAAGAGAGATTTTGTTGTTGGCCTTTGGGAGCCCTTCTCTTTCCTTTTTTCGCCCCCCCCCCCCTTTAATTACCCACCCACTATTTTTATTTGTTTCTTCCTTGCTTTTGGATTGTATACATTTATCTTCTTATCTTCTCTTCCCCACCACCCCCATTTGGTTTTTATTTCTTTCTGTATTCTGTTCCCTTTTTTCATCCTATTCCTTCGTTGTTAATCCTAGCAAAGGCAGCCTACAACTTACAATCCACTTATGGATCCAGTAGTGGACAATGCATTGCTCGCTACTTGTTAGGGATGGCAACAAAATTCGAACTCACGAGTATCCAATTCGATCTAACCCGGTCAACGTGGGTTAAACTCGCATTGACGGGTTTCGAGGTGGGTTTGGGTTAAACCCGTACACTATTCACTGGGTTGGGTTTAGATTTAGTGGTATCCGACCCATGGATACTCGCTCATACTTATTTCGTCGCCCTAATCTCCCCAAACCCTATCATAATTCTTCCTCCAATCTAACTCTCACTATATTTATTCCGTGTGAATTTATTTAGTGTAATTGTGATATTTTTGAATTTTCTAGAATGGTGTTTTATGTATAAATAATTTGTATGGGGAAATTGATGTTTGAATTTATTTTGATATGAACTTGATATTATAAATTTTGTACCACAAAAACCCATGGGTACCCATGAACCCGCAGATACCCAGCAAATTGAGTTGGGTTTGAGTTTTCCAAACTCAGTGGGTTTTACCCCTGGTTTTTTTTACGAATAAACCCATGGGTTTGGGTTTGGGTTTGGCAAAACCCGACCCATTGCCATCGCTACTCATAGGGATGGCAATGGGTCAGGTTAGGGCGGGTTTTGCCAAACCCAAACCCATGGGTTATCCGTCAAAAAACCAGGGGTAAAACCCGCTGGGTTTGAAAAACTCGAACCCAACCCGTTGGGTACCTGTGGATTTTTGTATAAAAAAATTAGAATAACAATTTTATTTCAAAATAAAATTCTAACATAAATTTTCTCATACAAATTATCCATAAAAAAAAACGTCAATCTAGCACATACAAACAAACCGCAAATTATCAATATATGAGTGTGGACGGATACCCATGGGGTGTTAACCAGGTCAGGCAGGATATCCGTGAATTCAGGTTTTATTGCCATCCCTCGCTCCATTAGGATTTGTTCAGTGAGTTTGTGAGGGGTTGAACTGTCTATGTTGATGAGGTAGTTAATTGGTATTGTGCATGGTTGTTACAAGATCGAGCATACGTGATAATTCAAAAAATTAGGCTTGCGTATCATTTAATATATTCATATTTAATTATTATGTGTTTCGTATAATGTTAGGGCGTTTTGTTATAATAAATTGTTATAAGTATTTTAGCTCTTGTTTATTAATTGATTAATGTTTCTTGTAAGACAAGAAAGGAAATTCAACTAGACAAATTTTCACACAATCCTCATCCTTTATTGGGGGCCACAACGATTAACTTGTGCTAATTCTCCATTCAATCTACTAATCAATCCATTCAAAATATCCACCTAATCCAATTCATTTAAATTTAATCCATTTGATCCAAATGTTAAATTACAGTTTGGTACCTATATTTTTTATATTTTATATTTGATACTAAAAATTTAATTTTTATAAGAAAAATATCATTGGAAAATAATTACATTTTTGTACCTAAAAATTTTCATTATGACATTTTAGTACCTAAAATTTTCACATTTTACATATTGGTCCAAGGTTGAGGATGTCATTTGGATTCATGGATAATCCAACAATCCATTTGATCCTGTTGGGTAAGCATAGGTGAGCCATTGGGGGACCTGGGCCATGGAGGCTGGCTAGGCCCAAGCCCACTTCAGAGCAAGGAGAAGGGGATGTAAGCTAGGAGTAAGGCCTAGGCAGGGATGAGCAAGCGCATAACGACAAGAATAGGGCGGGGACCGTGCAAGTCGGGGACCAGGAGGCTGAGGGCATGCCACCTGACAATGTGGTCCCTGCAGGCGCCAGGGCTTAGGAGCCCAGAAGATGCCACGTGGAGGCGCCCGACCGTTGGGCCGTACCGAGCATTTAATGACGCGCTGACGTGGAGCTGAATTCTAGGAGCCTGGTCGGGACCTCGACGAGTATAAATAGTACTCGGTAGGTGGCATTTAAGCAGGTTGGCTTCTCTCACTAAAATCTCTCTAGGCACTTATCTCTCTAGAATTGCTCTGACTTGAGCGTTGGAGTGCTAACGGGCATCCAGAAGCCCTTTAGGCACTTATCTCTCCATTGCGGTCAACAGTCGGGGATTGCCAAGAGGAGGTGTTATAAGGGGGTTCGTGGCACAAACAATTGGCGCGCCAGATAGGGGGGCGAGCGAGCAGGCGCATGGAGAACATGAACGAAGGAAATGAAGGGGAGGACAATGCGAGATCAGAGAGTTCAAACCACGAGGAGGGTGAGCGGCTGTCGAATCAGGAGCAGAGTATGGATGTGGAAGTAGAGGGTAGTCCTGGGCGCCCGTCGGTGGACGAAGGGGAATCCTTGACGAAGAGGGAGTTGTTCCGAATCATAGCTGACCAAGATAGGGCCATAGCCGCGCTTAGGAGGCCGTTGGAAGGAGAACGAAGCGAGGACATGATGATGTATAGTCCGGGAGTGAGAAAGCGAGAAAGGGGGGGGGGGAGACTTGGAGTCCATGCAGCACGGACTTCCACATCACGGTGAACAGGGCCCTGAGGTGCCTGGGCGCCTTCGTTCCTGGAGGCTGCCCGCGGAACACATGCAGACAGGTCCGGATGAGCCTACAGTATGGGTGCCTAGGAGGATTGCCAGGCGCTTTGGAGTCAGGCAGCCCCTGGCGCGAAGTATCCTGATGGAGCCGGCAGGAACCACGATCCCCCCGTTACCTGGTTACGATGGGGTGGCTGACCCAGAAGATCATTTGAACAGCTGCTTCACGAAGATGCAACTATACAACAGCTCGGATGCTACGCTGTGCAAGGTGTTTTCGTCCACATTTGCGAGGGTAGTCCTTGAGTGGTACCATCAAATCGAGGAAGGGCGCATCGAGTGTTTTGAACAATTTGCTGAGTTGTTCTTGTCCAAGTTCGCAAGTCGGAAGCGTCGGACTTTGACAATAGGCGCCTTGTTCAAGGTAAAGCAGAGGGAAGGTGAGGCGCTCAGGGAGTTTAACGATCGATGGATCTCAGTCGCCATGGCGGTCAAAGATGTTCAGCCAGCGATTTTGGGAGTTTGCCTAGACGCATGCACTTTGAGTGAAGAGCTGTGTCGAGTCCTTTCTAAGCGAGATGTGGTGTCAACCGAAGATCTAGATCGGAGAGTACAGAAGGTGATAATGTTGGAAGAAACTCTGGATGCGCGAAGGGCTGAGAAAAGGCTCCTCAAGGGAGAAGAGGTGGATACAAGGCAGGCGCCCAGACCCATAATGGAAAATTTCGGTCCCCAAAGAAGACCAGAGGCGCCCCGCCCATTGCCAAGGGGTGCCGCTAATTTTACAGAGTATAATGATACGCTCAAAAATGTCTCGCAGTATGTGAAGGAAAGGGGCTATCATATACGTTGGCCAGGGCCTATGCGTGGCCAACCTAATGAGAAGAATCTTGACCGATACTGTGACTTCCATAGGGATAAGGGGCACTACACGGCCGATTGCTATCAACTGAAGTCTGAACTTCAAACATTGGCTGATAAGGGAATGCTCAATGACTTTGTAAGGAGGGCGGAAGAAAGGACTCATCGCACTTACGTGACGAGGCCGGCGCCTATGACGCCAGTCGTTCAAAAGGGGCCTGAAGCAACGGAGGCTCAACAAACGCCTGTGATTCCCCCACCACCGTTTGAAGTGAACCAAGAAGGAGAGCCCCGCCGCGTTAGGCTCACAGTCGATTCCATCACCGGCACCCTCGACTTGTGGGAGAAGTTGGAAAGGACCAGGCGCCTGAGGTCCGCATCGTTGGAGGCCAGGGCAGCAGTACACATCCACTTCAATCAGGAACCGGATGAGGCGTGCCAGGTCCCTTCGGAAGAAGCTTTGGAGATACAAGGGGTGATAGCAGGATGCAAGGTGAAAAGGATGTTGGTGGATACCAGTAGTTCGATGGATGTCCTGTTCAAGAGTACGTTTGAGCGCATGCAACTAGCGCATGAGTTGGTGCGTCCTTCTAGCTCGGTTTTAATTGGGTTCTCCGGAGCACCAGCCCAGGTCATCGGGCGCGTGCGCCTCCCCATGACCCTCGGTGATGAAGCGCATTGCGTGACGCATGCGGTAGTATTTGAATTGTGGATTGCCCATCGCCATACAATGTGATACTCGGGCGGCCACTCTTAGCACAATTCAATGGGGTGGCCTCCACTTGTCACCAGACGCTGAAGTTTGTAGCGCCACAAGGTATAGACATCTCGCGGGGGAGGAATATTCCACGATATGCACGAGAGGAGGACCCGAGAGGCCGTGTTCGCAAGCATAGACTAAACAACATCGGCATTCGCCCTGAAGAGGCGCCTCGAGCCGAGTTTGTGGATGACGAGTTTGTGGTGACAATAGACGAGGGGCGCCCAGAGAGACAAATACGAATATCGGCTCAAGCGCCTGAGGTCATGAAGGCACCTTTGATTGAATTGCTGCGGGAGTTTGGGGAGCTGTTTGCTTGGAGCGCACAAGACATGCCTGGGGTATCTCCAGAGGTAGCGGCGCATAGGCTCGTCGTGGAGGAAGGAAAAAGGTCTGTCCAACATAAGCGCCGAAACCTATCCCAAGAAAAGAGGAGGCTCTTCGCCGTGAAATTGACAGATTTCTTGAGGTCGGCTTCGTGGAAGATGTGAGGTACATCACGTAGCTTTCGAATGTGGTGTTTGTCCCAAAGCCGTCGGGAGACTGTAGAATGTGTGTGGATTTCACCAACCTCAACCGTGCGTGTCCCACGGATGCATACCCCATACCACGCATCGATTTGCTTGTGGACACAACGGCTTACCATGAGGCGCTTAGTTTCCTTGATATATTCTCAGGTTACCATCAGATCCCTATGGTGGAGGAAGATAGAGCAAAGACGGCCTTCATGACGCCATTCGGTAACTTTTGCTACAGAGTGATGGCGTTCGGGTTAAAGAATGCGGGAGCCATGTATCAGCGTATAGTAAATCAAGTTTTCCGCAAACAACTTGGGAGAAATGTGGAGGCGTATGTGGACGACTTGATCGTGAAGAGCAGGAGGCGCCAGGACCACATCATGGATTTACGAGAAACTTTCGAGACGATGCGACACATCAGGTTGAGGCTTAACCCTAAGAAGTGCGTACTCTTGGCCGAGGTAGGGAAATTCTTGGGGTTCATGATAACGAAGCGGGGAATTGAAGCCAACCCCAAATAAGTCGAGGAGATCATGAGCTTGGGCTCCCCTCGGACGCCGAAGGAGGTGCAAGGATTGACGGGAAGACTAGCGGCACTTGGGCGCTTCATCCCGAGAGCATCGGACCGAGACACGATACACGCCGATAGAGAAGGCAGCACTGCGGTGGTGATGGCAGCAAACAAACTACGACCTTATTTTCAGGCTCATGTGTCTGGGCTGTGTCTGCTCACAAACCTCCCCCTGAGGACTGTGCTGGGGTCCATGGATGTGTCAAGGCGCCTGGTTAAATAGGTCGTGCAACTCAGTGAGTTTGATATCAACTATGCGCCCCGGCCTGCCATCAAAGCGCAGGTATTGGCTGATTTCATGGCGGAAGGTGAAGTGGACGGGGGAACGGGAGTTGAAGAATGTTGGCAAGTTTATGTAGACGGAGCAGCAAGCCGAGCAGGTGCGGGTGCAGGTGTGGTCCTCGTTATCCCATTGGGCGCTTTGCACGAGGTGACACTGTGCTTTGCGGCCCTTAAAACAAACAACGCTGTGGAGTACGAAGCCGTCCTAGCAGGGCTCCACATTGCAAGAGAGCTAGGCGCCCAAAAAGTGAACGTCAAGACCGACTCGGCGCTAGTCGTCAATCAGCTGAACGAAGTTTATGAGGTGAAGGAGGAGACTCTAGGCGCCTATGTGCAGGCCGTTAAAAGGAAGTGCGCCTGGTTCCGAGAGGTGACATTCACGCATGTCCCGAGGGAGGAGAATGCCCATGCAGATGCCTTGTCCAAATTGGCAACGACTTTGGATTTTGAGGAAAACCGAACGGTGGTCGTGACGAAAGAGGTACCACATGAGGAGATGGTAATGGCATCCCTTGAGATGGGGGAGAGAGAAAGGTGCAGGGGCGGAGCTAGGCGAGGTCTCGGGGGGGGGGGGGGGGGGGGGGGGGGGGGGGGGGGGGGGGGGCGAGAATTTTCAAACCTACGTATAATTTTATACGAAATTTGGGGAATTAAGTATAAACAAATCATTTTATATAAATAATTTTGTGTGTAAAAAGAGCCACAAGTAGCTTGATAGTGTAGTGGTAGGCATGCTCAATGCTTCTATCATTTAGCCAAGTTCGAATCTTGGAGGTAACAAGTTTTTGAACTTTAATTTGTTTTCTCAATATTAGCTTTTTCTTTCAAAAATTTACACCATTGATCACGGACATAGTAATGCATTATGTTAATGTTTTCACTTTTTTTTGTTGGCACTTAAAAGTGTTAATTTAATTTTTATATGTCTTTATAAAGTTAAGTCATTTTGAATTCGTAATACGTTATATTAATTATCTTCAAATAGTAATATGTACATCTATGTATTTTCCAGTTATAAAAATATTGGAGGACATGCTATACATTGGAATGCATGATTTATTATTTTGTTCATAAAATCTAATAACTTGTTTATAACATAATATCGTAGAAATTAATTTTTTTCATATAATTCGCATTTTCTTGATAGTAAACAAAAAAAATTTGCCCCCCCCCCCCCCCCGAACCTCAAATCCTAGCTCCGCCCCTGGAAGGGTGGATGGCTCCAATCTGGCTCTTTCTCACCCAAGGAGTGGTGCCGGAGGACCCAAAAGAAGCTTGGCGCTTGCGACGGAAGGCATCCCGGTGCGCCATTGTGTAAGGTATGCTATACAAAAGGTCGCATTCGGGCGCCTATCTGAGATGCCTTACCGATGCCGAGGGGCAAGCGGCGATTAAAGAGGTACATGAAGGGGCTTGTGGTATGCATGTGGGCGATTAAAGAGGTACATGAAGGGGCTAGAGAATGTTCTGCTCCGACAAGGATATTATTGGCCTACCATACGGGCGGACGCAGGGAAGCACGTGGCGGCATGCCATCAGTGCCAGATTCACGACAATGATGTGCATCTCCCGGCTGCGCCTATGCAAGGGAACATAGGCGCCTGGCCCTTCGCCCAATGGGGTATGGATCTTTTGGGTCCCTTTCCGAAGACGTCCAGACAGTTCAAGTACTTGATTGTTGCGGTTGATTACTTCACAAAATGGATAGAGGCAGAACCATTGGCATCAATCACACAAGAACATTTTTGCAAGGTTTGGACTCCCAGAATCCATCGTCACCGACCATGGGAAGCAATTTGACTACAAGAAATTCATCGAGTTTTGTGATTAAAATGGGGTGGTCTTGAGATTTTTGTGATGAAAATGAGGCGGCTAACAAGAGTATATTGCATGGCACACGAGGCTGGTGGTGGCCAAGGGCAAGTGGGTGGAGGAACTGCCAAGCGTCTTATGGGCGCATATGACCACATTTAAGGTAGCTACGGGTGAAACTCCCTTCGCATTAACTTACGGAAGCGAAGCGGTTTTGCCAGTAGAGATGTGCATCCCCACCTTCAGGATGACCCACCAAGACGAGTCGATGGATGACCAGGCGCGAGTTGATGAATTAGACCTATTGGACGAACGTCGGGAGGCGGCCGCTCTGCGCTTGGCAGCGATGAAGAGTCAGGTCGCGTGGTACTACAACAAAAAAATGCGTGCACACAAAATCGAGATGAGAAGCCTTGTGTTAAAACGGGATTTCCACCCCAAAGCCGCAAAAGGAAAGTTGGCACCGAAGTGGAAAGGACCGTATCGCGTCCACGAAGTCGTTGGCCCAAGTAAGTTCAAACTAGAGCACCTGTCAAACAAGAAAGTGAAGAGGACATGGAACGCTCAAAATTTGAGACGGTACGACGTTGGGGAGGCAGGAGGATCAGATTATGGTGAGGCGGTCGAAACGGGCACCTCATCAGACGCAGAGGAGCAGGCGCCCAATTGCGAGTAGGGGCATTTGGCAAGTTGTTTCATTGAAAGCCTTATTTTGGTTAGTGAGTTTTTTGTTGAGTTTTCAAAAGCGCCCTTATGACCCGTAGACGTAAAGCGCCCTTAAGCGCCCGTATTTTTGTAAAGCGCCCAATTTGCGCCCGCTCCATGTAAAGTGCCCACATTTTTTCCGAATCGGATTAATTATTATTTACAAAATTTGGTGTTGGAAAAGGAGAATCTAGCGCCCACCACATTGCGCCCACTCATTGCGCCCTTGCATTTGATGGCACCACAAACAAGAGAGACGCCTAACAAGGGTCACATATTTAGCCCCCCCCCCCCCCCCCCCCCCCCTTTTCATGACCAGCAAGGCGCCTAAAAGTGTACCAATGAGAATTGTTTATCAAGCGTTTCAATGACACGGAATCATTCGTAAAAAAAAAAAAAAAACATTTAGCAGGCACCTCGGTAATACATGGTCAAAAATCAAGGCAAAGCAAGGAAAGTTATTAGGCGCCTATAACCACTACATGGAACACAGACCGCACACATAACAGAATTATTGAAATGTACATGTCTTGGCCATTACTCCGCTGCCTCATTCTCGGAGTCGGAGGACGAGTCGTCATTGCCCTCACTATCAGCAGACACCTCGTCTACCACAGGGCGCCCGCTCTCCATGTAGGAGATGACGAAACCCACCATGGACTGAATGTTCCAATCGATGTCGGGATGGTCGGAGGCAAGCTTCATTTGCAAAATCAGCATGCTGTTTAGAGCAGCATCAGCCTTGAGCGCCTGGCCAGCACTAGACTTCGCGAAATCTGCGGATTGGGCCTCGAACACCTCCATCTCCGTCTCGAGCGCCTGCTTCTCCTCCCTAAGCGCATGGATCTCAGCCAAGTGCTTCTTATTCTCCTTGCGCAAATACTTATTGTCTTTCTTCAGTGCGCCCTTCTCTTCCTTAAGAATGTCCATCTCGCTCCTCAGGGCGGCTACCTCGTTCTCTAAGTCAGCCTTCTCCTTCTCCAGCCTAACCTTCGTCTCCGCATGCGCCCTCTTCTCATTCTCGAGCTGCGCCTCATATTCTTCGCGCAACCGCTGCCTCTCTTCATCAATCTTGATTTGCACAAGAGAGGCGCTCTTCACGGCCTCAAATTCTGCATCGTTGCACATCTGGACGAGCTCCTCTTGGCGCCTCTGAGTCGTCGCGAGATTATCTTGGGCCACACTGAGCGAGGTGGTCGCCTCATTGGGCGCGGCACGTAGCGCCTCGCGCTCCATTATTCCTTTTTTCGCCACCAGCATCGTCTACAAAGATACATAGAACAAAGGAAAATAATCAGGCGTTTGTTGGTGTATAAGCAAAAGTGTTGATGCAAACGAAAACACAAGGCAAAATACTCACATGGGCGTTTATCCGCGCCACCTCACCCCAAGGATCGGCGTCCTCTAAGTCTTGGGGCGCCAGGAGTACGTCCCCAGCGGTCAAAACCATGTTGAGGGCGGCGCCTCGTTCCAGTGCCGACCGGTTAGAGCAAACAATATTCACCTTGTGCTTCGGAGGTTGAAGCCACTTCTCCAAACCCTCCGGCACCTCTGCATCGCCCGACAAGTGTAGGCGCTTACCCGAATCGTGTTGGGCGCCCTCTGCCTTCCTCTTCTTCCGGACGGCCAACGGCTCGTCATCTTCGGGCAGATCGGACCCTGCGAGAAGGTCTACCACAGGCGCCTGAACGTCTGCAAGTTCGGTGGCATGAGGCGCATCCCACGTTTCTAGTAAATCGCCTAAAGGCTCCAGCGCCTGGGGACTGGGAACCTTGTTCGGCTGAATCCTTCTTGGGGATTTCACCTTACGGCTTGGGCGCCCCTGTCCTTTGCTAATCGGGGGGGCGGCCGCCTCAATTTCAGCGAGGGCAGTGTTGGCTTTGTTTGAGCTTGCATCCTTTGATGAAGTGGTTTTGGTCACTCCACCGGTCTTTTTGCCACCTTTCTTTGAGGTAGACGCATGCTTTGCCACCAACCCGAGTTGCAAGAAGCGCGATTTCACAAGGGTGCTGATGGAGGTGAAGTCGACGCCTGCACAAACAAATATAAGTCAAGCTTGTCAGTAAACAATATACAAGGTCACTTGTAATATGCATAACTACTTTATAGTTAGGCGCCCGCCATCACGATAGTATTCGTGCAAGACAGGCGCCCGGGAAGATGTGGGACGCAGGTTAATCGAGTACAAGGAAATGAGCCGGGCGCCTTCAATCTCCTCGGCGATCGACAGGGTCACGTCAACATTGAACGCCTCGTGGTCGCCCATCACCCAACCTCTGGTGAATGAGGCGCCACTCTTGTAGAAAGAGTCCTTATGCACCTTTATGAAGAAAAAACTCATAAACCACTCTCTCCCTAACTTGGGACACTCTATTAGAAAGTGGTCGGGAAGACCCAGACGCCTCTGCAGTGATAGGCAATTATCGGTGTAGACCATGTTGAAAAAATAGTGGAAATGTGGTCGACAGGGATCCACTTGATCCATTTGATCCATGAATCCACAAATCCATTTGATCCATGGATCCACTAATCCATTTGCCACCTTGCATGTGAGATTTCATTGTTAGGTATTATTTAAAAAATTTTAATATGAAATCTCTGGATTGAAAACTAATAGTAGAATCAATCAATAAGACTAAAGCAAGGTTGTCAACCCGCGTGTCGACCCACTTTGACCCTGGCCCAGTGAGAAAAACGGGCCACACGCACCCGCCGGGTCGACCGTTACAAAGTACCGAGTTAGATGTCAAATTGTGTCATTTTTTTCTTTGGTTTGCGAAATGCGCCTATTTTCTGATTTTTCTTTCCGTTTAATTCAATCTTTGGAATTTAAGTTGAACATTTGAATATATGTTTTATAAGTGTGTGAATTTTCACTATATGTTGGATATAAATACGACACGTTATTTTGGTGGAATATTTTATGTTATAACTCATATGTTACATAAGATTTGATATAATTTATCAGGATAAGTACAATATAATGACTATTTTCATATTACCGGGCTAAACCGAGTTAAAACGACTGACCCATTAACCCTTGACCCACTAGCTCGATCGGATCTGGATCAACTAGCAGATTGACAACCTTTTACTAAAGTCTAAACCCTTTGGCAGCTAAGACAGGATTTCCTACAATAGAATACGTGACAGTGTGTTATCCACTTCCGGCCCACCTATCAAAAGCCTTGAGAAATATCTTCCCATGAATATGAGCCAATGACCCAATCGGCAGGGTTTAGGCCCAGCGAATATTGGAGCGGAAGTCTAAAGAACAGCCAAAGCGAAGCGACATAGTATAAGAAAACTAGATTTAGTACAAACGTAGCACCAGCACATACATGCGGAAAGTACTTGCAACACAAGCATTTTCTACCTGTATAACTGATCAACTGTAATTGACTTTAGCTCATGGCTCGAACATGGTTTTGATGTGTGAATAAATAGTGAAAACAAACGACATGAACGAAACTAAAAGTTATAGAAACTCTCTAGCTCAAGCATCCACAAAATGATTACTTTTGAGCTCGCTACTAAAAAGCTTGATCAACACTGACCTTTCGGGGGGCCATCACCCTCCAATATCTCGTCCATGCAGAATTTATGCAGACTCTCGTAGGTTGTCTTCAATCTCTTCACCATTTGTCTAGAATCTGCAAGATCATGCTTCAGCTTTGCCACTCCCATTTCGGCCGCAGCTGAAGAACCCTTTTGCTGCAACAGGATTAAACATGGTCCCACTCAACACAAATGCAAAAAATCTGGCATAAACAAAATCTACATGACAGAAACTACATAGTTGCATTAATTCATTCGATGGAAATGGAAATGGAATGCAAAACTAAGAACAGAGAATTAGTAACCTGAAGTTCTATGAGTTGGTTGTCGATCAAAGGAGAGGTGACATATGCAGCCTCAAGACGATTACTGTTAGTATGCGGCAGGGCAATGACAGCATCTGTTAATGACTTGTCATCTTTCGACGCTTGGAATTTCTGCAGTGGAGGTGGTAGTGAAGACTTTCGCCGTCTTGTGACCTGCAGATTGTTCACAGGACCTGCATCGGGAAAAATTCAGATGACTGTCAGAGAAAAGAGAGTTTCAATGGAAAATTTGCGTTGGACGAGAACTTAAGGTCAACACTACAGGCCCCTGCATCGTTCACGGCAGATCAGGTAATATGCACAAAATACCTTTTTCATAATGGAATCCACGAATTAGGTTCATGTTCTTGGGATCCCAGACTCGAATTGACCCATCCTCTGATCCAGCAAGCAACCAGTTCTTACTGGTACTGTATGCTAAGGAAGTCACAGCGTCGCTCAAGTTCTTACTGCTCAATCATAAACAAAAACAGAAAAGTTCTTACAGCTCAAAGCAATTGACAAGTTTGACCGGCCAAGTAGTCTTACTGAAATTAAGAAGGAACATTCCTCTGAGAAAAGGAATCAAATGAACGGGAACAAAAGGAAAGAAGCAGCCTATGCAATTCAAGCTCACGATTCACCAATTCTGTTAGGTCTCTACTTATGCAGGTTCAAATGGAAAACGGATGAAAGACTTTGGAAGGACCAACATCTTACATAAACAACAACATGTATAGCAAATAACTAACCTTCCACTAGACAACGAACCAATGATGTGCAACCAAGGACTTTTGCTGGATGAACTACTAGCACTAAGGGCAGCAATATATATCTTTCCATCTTTACCACCAGCATAAAAGACGGTTTCCGCAGGATCCAAGACTAATGCATTGATTATACATGGAAACACAACACTTCTCAACAATTCACCCTTAGATAAGCTCCATACCTGACAAGAATCCCCAAGGCCAGATAAATGATTCATTGTGGCTTTGGCAGAGGAATGTGTCAAACAATAAAGTTCAGAAATCAAACCTTACAAGTTCGGTCCTCGGAGGCTGAAACAATAACTGCATTCCATCCTCCATAACCTATAACCAAGTCAGTTATTGGCATAGTGTGGTCTGAAAAGTTATACAAGTATCGATGACTTGGTTTGTCTGTTTCTCTATCATCTAACACCCTGACACAGATAGAACCACACCAGAAAAAACGTCCTTAGCAATTACAAACAACAAAAAATTTACACCCTTTTTAACCAGAATTTGCACAAGAAGAGAAGGGGAATTTACTTCAAAAGTGGCCACACTTTAACAGTGCCATCCTCCGACCCAGAAACCAGAAGTGAACCGTCGTCATTGAATACCAGGCAAGTAATCGGCCTGAGATGCGCCTCCCATCTCTCAAGCAACAATCTACCAGTAGCAGTCTACAGCAATCAAAATCCGTACTAAGTTGAATCAAACTAATTCCTATTTTCCATCATTGAATCAAAGGAGGAAGGGAGAAAATCTCACCTCCCAAAGATAGATTTTCCCGGAAATCCCTCCACCAACAATGTAAGTCCCTTCAGGATTAGCAGCTATGGGCTTTACGGGCTCAGCCAGAAAGCTCTTCACCTCCACTCCCGGCTAAAGAGAGACCCCAAAAAATTTGCCAACGAAAATGTCAATTCTTTGAAACTAAGTGTATCAGGGAGGCAAAGAATAGAAAATACTAAGTACCTTGGACCAAGACCAGTAGTGAATGAAACCATTTTTGACTTTAGGGTCTCGGAGCTGAGAAGATGCGAGGAAGCGGCTGCCGACGGCGGAAAGGCCGTGGCGGGTGGAGGCGCAGGATTTGTAGTGGAGCGGCTGCTTAACTCCCGTTTCGAGGTCCCAACAGCCGATGCCGGCGTCGACTGAAGAAGAGGCAATTACCAGCTCCGGTTCCATGTCGCCGTACGGGAGCTTTGTTCCGCCGAGAGACGCGATTTGCAGGGTTTGGTACTTCAAACGGCAATATTTTTGTAGGGTTTTAGAACCTAGAACAATGAACTCGCTCCTTTTTTAAAATATTTTTTTGTAAACCCTTGCAGATTTAACTATTGGCCCATTAGCAACACCTCTTTTGGGCCTCATGTATGGGATTATTCCCGATAGTAAGCCTGGTTAGTGGTTATTGGGCCAAAGTAGCATCTTGGATTGCTGCCAGGTTAACACCACTTTCGTCTCCCAAGTCCCAAGTCGCCCCATTTCTACAAGATGTAATTTTTACGGATAAATTATAATCAATCAAACCTTGTGATAATTAGTGGTACACATCTTTCTCACAATCACAATCTGGCTTCCTTTAATTAGTTACTTCTAAATAATTTTCAGAAGTATTGTATAAAACACACTAATTTAAGAATGACGTTTTCATTAAAAGTTCCCACAAAGAATGCAAATTGTCTTACAAAAGCAATTATACGAAAATTTTTATCCAATTCTTGGAAATTAAGATAGAGCTGTCCAAACTTTGCAGCTGTAGTAAAAGCAAATGTATAACCGTTAGGTTGTAGCGTGTTGTTCATAAATGTACTATCTTCGATTCGTAGTCTGTATAGGTTTGGATTCTTTAAGCTGGTAAAACAGGATTCTGGCTTGCACAAATCGTATTTGATAAAATAAAATGTTATTATTTATAAAATATAAAAAATAAGATAGTAATTATGGTTGGTTGGTATTGGTGCATAATTTTTTTAAATAGTAAATCAATAGAATCGGGTCGGTTCATTTGGTTCCGCGTATCCAACCACTAAAAATCATTCGACCCATTGTTGGGAGCAGATCATGTCAGTAATTGATGGGTCAGTAACCCATCAGTAACTCCTTCTCTGATCTCCACGTGTCAGATCCCTTTTTTTATTTAAATTAAATGCGGAAGGGCAGGAAGGTAAAATTGCACTTACTCCTATTTATTGTTGACGCTGACTTTTGACCGGACCACATCAGCGCCTCCTTCTCTCTCCTCGAAAAATCTTTAATTTTTCTTCTCTTAATCTTTGAAGGACGATTTCTCACTCGTTTTAAGTCGGAATTTAATATTTTTGCACAGTTAGATCAGATTAATTGTGCTCTTCAAAATGATATCCACTTTGATATTTTTTGGACATAAATTTTTTTTTCCAGTTATTACCAATCTATACCATATGGTATTTACTGGTATTAAATAAGACCATACCACATGGTATGGTAATATCAATATATATTTCGTTACCGCCCAATACCATATGGTATAGTGTGGTAATATCAATATATATTTTGTTACCACCCAATACCATATGGTATAGAGTGGTAATATCAATATATATTTCATTACCACGCAATACCATACATTACCATAGAGTATAGTGTGGTAATATCAATATATATTTCGTTACCACCCAATACCATATGATATAGTGTGGTAATATCAATATATATTTCCTTACCACCCAATACCATATGGTATAGTGTGGTAATATCAATATATATTCGTTATCACACAATACCATATGGTATAGTATGGTAATATCACACAATACCATATGGTATAGAATGGTAATATCAATATATATTTCGTTACCACGCAATACCATACACTACCATAGGGTATAGTGTGGTAATATCAATTTATATTTTGGTATAGAGTCATAATATCAATATATATTATCCAGGGTTCAAGAAGGCGCGCCTAGGCGCACGCCTAGGCTCAATTAGGCGCTAGGCGGTGGAGGATCGCTTTGACTTGGCCATAGGCGTTGTAAAAGGCGCTGGTAGCGCTTAGTAGGTAGGAATAGCGCTTAGTTTGCGCCTAGTGGAGAGAAGGCGTGCCTGGGCGTTCCTGGGCGAGATTAGGCTGTTAAACCCAATACTCTTCATTTTGTCCTAGAAAATCAAAACTTGCCTCTTGCCCTAGAAAATCAGAAACACGGGAAGTAACATCTGTTGCCGCCTGCCACCCTAGCTCTCGCCCCATCTGCTACCGACTGCCGCCCTAGCTCTCACCCCATTTGATGCTCTCGGTCGCCGCAGGAGAAAGTCATCGATCACTCTTCTCGCTTTCACACCGCTCCGCTGCTATAGTGGGAAATAAAGTCAAAACTCGTCAATTGCTGCTCCTTCCTTCTCCTCGCTGCGTAGCACAAGGTTCTTGCCTCTATAAGCACCTATTAGCAGAATTGGTCACTATTTGCTTGTTATTTGTTATGTTAAGTGTTTACTGTTAAGAACTAGGCATTGCTAATTTTATATGCACTTGGATTATATGAATTATTCCAGAAAACAGAAAATATTTGAATTTTTTTTTCATTTATGCTCTGAACGCCTAGGCGCGCCTAGGCTACGCCTAATCGGGCAAGGCGCAAGTCAGGAGCCAAGCGCCTGCCTTACGCCTAGCGCCTTTTAGAACCTTGATATTATCTAAAAGGAAAAAAACAGAAGGAGGGAGAGAAAAAATCGTCTTCTGATGCCTCTCATTTCCTCTTCCTCAATCAAGAACACCAAAATGCCAAAAAAATGAGAAAGATCGGAATTGAGGCCAACGAGTTGATGAAGAGAAGAAATGCAATGAAAGAGAGTGGCTACAATTTTTAATCGTCCATTGCTAGAGAGAAAAAAATGAAGAAGGAAGAGAGCATATTTAGATTTGAAAAGGAGATTGTGAGAGAAAAAGTAAGAGAGAAGGAATAGAGAAAGAGAAAGGATCTGGAAAGAGATTGAAAAAAAGAAGAGAGAAGGAAGAAAGTTGAGTTGCAGAGAAAAGACAATACTCTCTCTTTCATTAAAAAGTCAGCCATTCAAATGCGGAATAAATTAAAAAAATTAAAAATACAAAAATGGACAAAAATGCCCCTCCCCACCCCGCATCCGGCCCAGCCACACGATTGCTCCATCCCCAGATCTACGGCTCCCGTGTGGTTACTGACCCTATCTTGGACCCCCATTGTTGATCGTCCAACAAACTTACAAACAGACTAATCAAGTATTGTATCAGGTTGGTTGACGGCTCCATTTAACGGCCGGATAGTCCAGACCGCCCTAGGGCTGAAAATTTGCATGTCCCGTCCCTGTCCCTGTCTGACCCGTCCCTAAAGGGTCAAGATGTATAACCGTCCCGTCCCTGTCTCCTTTTTGACCCTGTCTGGCCCTCAAGGGTTGGGACGGGACGGGTCGGGTCAGTGGGTCGACCCTAATCAGCAAACTACTTTTAAAACTTTACAAAAAGGTCCAATGAAGTATAAGATATTTGTTGTTGCTAAGGGTCACAGGGTCAAAACGTGACCCGTCCCTAATCTGTCCCTGTAGACAAACCGACCCGTCCCGACCCTTAGGGACGGGACGGGCCGGACGGGTCAGTGGGTCTTCCGGGACAAGCTTTCACCCCTACGGACCGGTTCTTAGACCAACCTATGTCAAGTCCAAGGAAGGAAGTATTGGGCCGCTCAAAGCCCAATCACACAGCAACATGCTCTTATTGGGGACCAAATTTAATGGAGAGCACTGCTGTGAGGGATGATTGGAGTCTGACTGAGTAATATAAATGGACAAATAATAATGGAATGATGAGAAGTTTGAGAACTGAGAATGGCTAGCTAGCCCAGCTGCCCAGGAACTCAAATCAGCCCACAAACAACTTACATCATCAATTTCTCTTTGGAGAATGGGAACAAGGAAAAGAAGATTCCCCCATCTGTCTGCTAGGGTTCTTGCTAGGTGGCATAGCTAGAGAATATACATATGGTAGAGGTATGGGGAAAATAAATATAGTTTTGTTTTTCATCGAGATGTTTTGCAAAATGAGAAGAAATGGAAATGAAAAGGTGTGCATGGATCTAATCTAATCTGCATCTAATCTAATCTAATCTATGGAGCAGGAGCAGCAGCAGCAAGCATGTGTTTTTGTGTGGGGATAGCTGCATGCAGCCTTATTGACCCACTACTCACTCTACCACCTACTGAATTCTCTCTACTTTCCTTCTCATTTCATTCATTTTCTTACTACTACTTTGCTTATTCTGCTAGCTTTGTGGATTTAATATTCCAGGAAAGGAGACTGATCAGGATTCAGGAAAGAAAAGCAAGACCAGAAGAGTGGTCAGAGAGAGAGAGAGAGTTGTAATGGGGGGCATTTTAGCATATAGTAGTTTATTGCTTGTATGGAAATTTGTCAATAACAAAGTGTGTGAAAGGACTAAATGAGGAGGGTCTACTGCTACTACAAAAAGAAGTGTCGAGCGACAGAAAAGAAGTTTGCATGTCAACAAAGTTGGATAGAGAAGACGAGAGGTGAGGAGGAATCATGTTTAGCCCAGTACAGCCAGCTCATGTCATGAATGAGGTTGTCAACCCGTACGTAACTGATCGCGGTCAAATCATTTCGATCTAGTATTCGATGTCTTCTTAATACAAGACAACCATTCAATCAAAAATTTGTGTAGTGCGAGTAACGCCTTCTCTATTTCGATCTAGTATTCGTATTGAGCCAAACATCAATATTGCTACATTGTTCGGGAAAAAATCCCAAAGTACACTAATTTTTAAAAAAAATTCCCAAAATACATTAGTTATAAAAAAAATTCCAAAACTACACATGTTTGAGCATCACCGTTTTTGTCTAAAACGGTGAAGGTCATCACCGCGTTTGACAAATACGGTGAGTACTTCACCGTTTTAAACTAAAACGGTGAAGGGTTCACCGCTTTTGTTAAAAACGGTGAATACCTCACCGTTTTAATTTAACACGGTGATGCCTTCACCGTTTTAAACTAAAACGGTGAAGGCTTCACCGTTTTTGTCGGCCGCGGTGAAGTTGCTGACGTGGACAGCACGGGGTATTCACCGCGTTAGACAAACACGGTGAATAACCCGTGTTTGTTTGCGTCAGCAATCCGCGCCAATGTGCTTTCACCGTGGCCGTTAGATGCGGTGAGACACGCCACGTCACCATTGCATTCACCGCGTTTGGTTAAAGCGGTGAGTTCACCGCGTTCATCAAACGCGGTGAATGGAGCCCTAATAACTGCGCAGCAGCTCCTCCCCCCTTCCCCCAAACTATAAATACCCCCTTCCCCTTTCACTTTCAACTCACCCCACAAACATTTCACTTCTTTCTCCCTAAATTTATCCGCTCTAGTCTCGTTCTAAGTATGCTCTGTGGTTGCGGCTAAGTCCGATCTTCCACATCAGAAAGAATTACTAGAGTTTGACCCTAAAGCCCCCGTCCCGCTAAGTTCCCGTCCCTTACAAAGCTAAACCCGTCGAACCTCTGTCCGGCTTCCGCCAATAATGGACGAAGAGGCTCTTCGTGTAGGTTTTTGGTTTGTGATTTTTTTTAATCGAAACAATTTGATTTATTTTTTATCAAAACAATCTCTGATTATATTACTTTTTTATAGATGGGTGCCGAGATATACGATCCTCGATTGTATATCCATTATGGCCCAAGGAATGCGAGTCTCTTAACCGATCAAGAAATGCATCGCTCCCGTGCCATTTGGGATAACAATCCGGTAATTTGATGAACTGACTTGCTTTATTTTATTATTTTCTAATGTT